TATATATATATATGGTTCAGGCTCCACATTCCTCATTACTAGGAGTCTTCACTAGGTCACCCTCATAGATTCCGAGGAGTTTGCACTGCACTAGGTTTCTACCTTGCCCCCAAATGCTCCCCAATTCCAGTCTCTCCAAATACTCTCTCCCACTACCCCCCTTCCCATCTGCCCAGATTCCAGTCCACCCTTCCTTCCCAGGGAGAGCCATGTGTTCCCCACCCCCACCCCTGAGCTTTTCTTGTTAACTAATTTCTCTGGGCTTGTGGATTGTAGCATGATTATCCTTTACTTAACAGCTAGTGTCCACTTATAAGTGAGTTGATATCATGTTTGTCTTTCTGGGTCCAGGTTACCTCACTCAGGATTTTTTTCTAGTTCCATCCATGTGCTTGCAAATTTCATGATGTCATTTTATTTAACAGCTATGTAATATTTCATTTTGTAGATGTATCAGATTTTTTTTAATCCATTCTTTAGGTGAGGAACATCTAGGTTGTTTTCGGTTTCTGGCTTTTATGTATAAAGCTGCTATGAACACAGTTGAGCAAGTGTCCTTGTAGTAGCATGGAAAGTCCTTTGGGTATATAATCAAGAGTGGTATTGCTGGGTCTTGAGGTAGGATGATTCCTAATTTTCTGAGGAACCACCATATTGATTTCCAAAGTGGCTATACAAGTTTGTAGTCCTCTCCTTACTCCATATCCTCACCAGCAGGAGCTGTCACTTGTGGTTTTGATCTTAGCCATTCTGATGGGTATAAGATGGAATCTGGGTCATTTTGATTTGCATTTCTCTGATGGCTAAGGATGTTAAACATTTAAGTATTCTCAGCTATTTGAGATTAAAAGAAGCCATTTTTGAAGTGGGAGCCAACAAATGAGTTATTGACTTTATTTTCAATTTTTTTAAAAATCCAGAGCCAACAAGATAGCTCAGTAGGTATAAGAACGTGCCACCAAGACTGATGACCCAAGTCCAACCCCCTAAATCCGTATGGTCAAAAAAATTGATTCCCAAAAGCTGTCCTCTGACCTCTACCCATGCACTGTAGCAAGCATGCATGTATTTTAAAGATTTATGTATGTGGACATTAATTTAGATGCCTAAGGAGGCCAGAGGTGCAGGATCTACTGGAGCTTGAGTTGCAAGCAACTGTGAGTTGCCTGACATGGGTGCTTATTGGCCTTCCTGCTCAGATGGAAGAACCATACAGCTCTGAGAGGAAGTCTCCTCAGCAGAGGCATTGCAGCTCCCAGGAGAGGGTATCCCCAGCTGAGCTCAGGAGCCTCAGCCCCACTCCACTTCTTATCCTCTCTCCATTACTTCTTGGTTTCTTCTGAGGAGTCATACCAGGAAGAAAATCTCATGGGGAGGGTCCAGGATGTGGGGGATGAATCCATGGTTGGCTGCCCCTGCACCAGGGAGAGGACAGCAGGGAACTGAGCAGACAGCGTTTATATAGGACTTCTTAGGGAGTGGAGCTTTCTAGGGCAGAGATTTCCAGGGCGAGGATTAGTGGGATTATAAATCCTGAGTTTGGGGTGCTCAGAGATTGGTAGGTTTCTGTGGGAAGCTCAGGGATTGGTGGCTTTTTGTTCAGACTTTTCACTGGGATGGGTCCTATTGAGGGGCTTGAGTTGACCTTTATGACAATTAGTTACAGAGGCTGGAAACCACTGTTATGACAATTAGGGATGTCTGGAGGAGGAGCCTGGCTTCTGGAGCTCCTCAGGCCTGGCCATTTTTCTGCCTTGGGGGTTCACAAAGCTTACAAAGGCAGTCCACTTCTGAGAAGCCTTTTCCTGCAGCATGAGTCAGCATGAATAGCTGAAGAAGGCAAGAGAAGAAATGCTGCCACTGTCGACAGCTTATGGCAGCAGGCTGCGGTGGGAAAGCAGGTACAGAAAGCTCCCTCGTGGCATCCAACGAAGGCACTCTGAGGCACATTGAGGCAGGAAAAAAAGTGAAGACACCACGGACAGCTCAGGTGGTGGCATTTCACGATGGCAGGACACTGACAGGAACAGCTACTGTGACTCCTGTGACAGGGCAAGGCGGGACACTTTGAAAGTTTCTGCAGTGGTGCAACCACTCAGGGACTATGGTGCTATGTTTGAGCTCAGATCTTCTGCAGGACCAGTACAGGTTTTTAACATCTGAGCAAAATTTTCAAATGTAACACAAACAGTTAATTTTTTTTTTCCATTTTGGTTTTGGCTTTATTAAACAAGGTCTCACTCTGTAGCCCAGGCTGCTGTGTAACTCACCATGGAGCTCAGGCTACCCTAAAACTCCCAGGGGTCTTCCTGTTTCACTGTTGGGAGGACAGTCCTCAGAATGCTGGCTGTGTCCTTTCCCCTGGGTGATGATAGAGCAAACAAACACTTGATTTTTAAAAATCAATGTCGACGAAGACTAACTCTGGCTGCAGTCTATCTGGACATCTTTGGGTCACCAGGTGTCCTTAAGAGATGGTGAGACTCTTAACCTTTTTCTCCTCCCCACTTACATCCTTATAATGAAGTTCTTACCTCATTATTCTGCCATGCCAGAGTAAGTGTTGCCTTGCCACAGGCCCCCCAAAAACCCCAAACCAGGAGCAAACCTTGATCTCAGTCTTCGTTATACTAAGGGATTCCTGTGCTAAGGCAAAAACCATACTGCTAACACATTCTTGTAAAACATGTGGAGTCCATGGTGCCGTTGGCTGAAACCCTTCCTCCTGAACAGCAGCTACTCTTGCTAATTGGGGTCTTCTGATGGGTCTGATGGCTTACGGCTTCTCCTGATGTAATGTGTTCTGGTGACTAAGCGACAGCTTTGTCAACTGCCCTGATGCTCCAGTCTGCAGAAGGCAGGCAGGGCTGCTGGGGAAGCGGGTGTAGCTCTGGCTGGCTTCCATGCGCCATGAGCCATTTGGCAGAGAACTTGGCCATTGTGCAGAAACACTTTAAGTGAATTTCATGGGTGTGGAGACATCCCTGCAATGTCTCCTTTCCCTTCCTTTTTAGAACACGTATACATGAGCTGCCAAGGCCGACCTCTCACAGCCACAGGCACTATTTTTGGTTGTTGTTAGGGCTGGAGGCAGGCAGCCCTGAAATGGCTTTGCCTATGCTGTCAGTTCTTCAAGGGTTGCTCTTTCGGAACATTGGCAAAGATAATTGCCTTCTCCCCTCCAAAGCCTGGGCCTGCTTATGGGCCTGTAGCATGACAATGCAGTATTTAAGTCAGCTTCTACCCTGGCTGCAAAAAATTAATACATCTTTAAAAAAAATTAGATGTTTCCATAGTCTCATTAGCTTTTCTCTATTGTGAAGCTTGGTCTGCACAGCTGGATTTTTTTTCTCCCTTCAAATGATGACTTTTTCAAATGCAACAATAGCTCTCTATAGAGAAAACTACTGTAACAGGAACAGCATTGAAGATGGTCTACTGAGATTATGAAAAACTAATGTTATTAAGGGTAGAGAGACAAATGAAATGGGATGTGGTTTGGTTGAGTAGTCAAACAAATGTTGGAGACAAGAGCACTTCTTTAAAAAAAAAAAAGACAAGAAAGGTGAGTGTTAGTGTTTTGTCTTGAGATGCAGAAGGGCGCAGCGGTGGACAGAGGTGGCGGCGTCTCTCTCATTGTCCTCGTAGTAGTGTGAGTTCTTAGGAAAGCTGTTTCTGTCATGGACAAAGCATCCATCAGCAGATGGGTTATATTCCCTGTAGCCTAGCACGTGGACTCAAGCTCCTTCTGCACAGGGTGCTTACAAGCACAGTCCATTTGCCAACTTTGAGGGGCCAAGTCAGAAGTTGAGAACTAAAGACTTGAGGGTGAAGATAAAAATACCTGAAGGACTTCCAAGCAGTAATGACAGGACAGGAAGCATCACCGGAAGGACTCTTCCTGTTCTTGGCTATCAGGATGGGGTGTCAGTATCAGTATGTATTAGCAAGGATGGCTCTCAAGGATAAAAACTGCCCCTCGTCTCTGATGTTACCTTCCCTGCATCCTATGCTTTTTTCCTGTGATAAAGTTGCTACAAAAATAGTGTCAGGAAGGGCTTATTCTAGCTCATACTTCCAGGGCTCTCTCCCATCTTAGCAGGAAAGGCAAGGCATCAGGAAGCTGAAGAAACTGGTCAAATTCTGTCCACCAGCCGGAAGATAGCAACACCAGCTAGTGTTCAACTAACTCAATTTCTCCACTCTTGTGGGTCTAGGACTTCTGCCCGGATAATGGTCCTTCCCACTTGATTTAATCACGTAACCTCATGCCCAGAGGCCCAGTGCCCAGGTGATTCTAAGTCCTGTCGAGCTCACAATTAGCACTAGCAGCACACCTTGGAACACAGTACTATCTTAACTGCTTACTCAAAGTGCTTGGCACTCAGGAGGCGGAGGCAGATCTCTGAGTGTGATGCCAGCTTGGTTTGCAAAGTGAGTTTGTAGCCCTGGACAGCCAGGGACTATAAACCAAATACATATATACATAAATGAGGTTGGGGGTTTAGCTCAGGAGTAGTAGAGCACTTGCCTAGCAAGCACAAGACCCTGGGTTTGGTCCTCAGCTCTGAAAAGAACAGAACAGAGAAAGTACTTGGTGACCAAGTATGGTGGGAAGACTGCCATCCCAGTGTTAGAGCTAAAGGCAAAAAGATCAAGTCATGAGGTGGAGGCAAACCTACCTGGACCAAGATTTTAGAAAGTAAAACTGCATCTCAAAAAACAAACAAACAAACAAAAGTGGGTTTGGGTACTATGGACACAGGGTGATCACACACACACACACACACACACACACACACACACACACACACACACCACTGATAGCCAGAGTGTACCCGGACAGGTTAGTGACATTGGATACAGGGTATTGTTGGTCCATCACTCTTCTTGGTCTAACCTATCTGCCTTCATCAACATTGAGGTATTAGAAGCATCTGTGTGAGATGGGCTGAGCTGTGTGAGAACAGGCAGTCAGTACACAGCCACCAGAGCCAATGTTGTTTTCTTGGATGCAGACAAACTTTAATTGCAAAGCTTTTGTGTACAGCACATTCAGCAATGAACAAGCAGGAGAGCTGCTCGCTTCCAGAGACATGAACATAAACATCTTTTGCAATTCAAACAGTCTAGAGCATACCACTGGGGAACAATCCTCATCTTTCTGAAGACTGCTTGACATTTTAATAAATGATTAGGCGTACTTAGAAACTCAAAATAAGATGTACCTTGCAAGGAAAGAGGGTTTTTCCATACTTCTAGGCAACCACACCTGAGTGGTTCTACTTGACAAAGCAAGAGATTTGCTGGAGCAAGACACTGAGGAAAAGTGTAAGCACTTCAGCACCAAACAAGCAGGTCACCCTTTTCATGCAGGGAGACACATCACCGCACAGCCCAAAATAACAATGGACAGCAGGTTCCCGCTGTCACTGTTCCCTATTACCTCATGGTCTTTATTTAGTCCAAAGAAAATCCTTGACCAGCAAATTCAGAATACCATGAATTTGGGAATAGTAGGGAAATTCTTCTATCACATATGTAAGGGCTCCTAACAACCTAATTAGAGCAGTTAATATTATTTATATTAAGGTTTGTTCTATTTACTGGAATGGTTTAAGTGTTATCTAATTTTGATTTTGTACTTTCAAAACAGTCAGAGGGAATGGAGAAAAAAGTGGGACTGGCTGCTCAGCTTTGAGGCCAGGCAGGTACAAACCAGACTCAGGAACTCCTTCTACAGTTCTGAGAAAGCCTAAGGGAGCTCACTACATCCACCCTACCAAAATAACCTACAGCCTCCCTACTCTGGTGTTCTAGCTACAAAGGAATGTTGCAAACAACGGAGGCTTCAACTTAACATCTGAACTGTAAAGTGTGGTATTTTAACAACAAACAGGCTCAAAGAGCTCATCCAGGAAGGGAAATCTGGCAGCCACAGGACCAAGCTGCATCTCAGCTCCTCCACACTAGGTTCAGGCAGACACATAAGGTGGCGGTGGCTCCTTGGCAGTGCCAGTGACAACAGGGGCATCATCGTACGGCGGCAAGAGCACCTGGAAAGGAGAGCCCAGAGTCAGTGTTTAAGAGTAGGCATCTAGCAAGGCGTGACGGACGCATGCCTGTAATCACTGCTTGGGGAGGCAGAGGCAGGTGGATCTCTGTGAATTTGAGGCCAGCATGATCTACAAAGCAAGTGCAGGAGAGCCAAGGCTACACAGAGAAACCCTATCTTGAATAAACAAACAAATAGATAGATAGGAGCGGGCGTCCACACCCTCCCACTAAGGCTGTGAGCTCCAACTGCACTTTAACCTGCACAGCCATTATTCAGTCCAGCTTCTCACTAAGTGGATACACCTACTGAGAAGCTTTGAAACTCCCAAGCAACTGGAGCCTGGCTTCTGTAGCCACTCTCCGCAGGCGCCTCCAGAGCCAGAGGATGTCTGAGGAGCAGTAAGGAAGTGTTTGTCAGCATGAGGCAGGCACTAGGTCAACTACAAAAACCACTCAGTGTTGGCCGTAAGTGACAGTGAGCACTGTAACCACACTCAAGCTTGGCCAAGTTCACATTTTTATCACCGTAGCCTTGGGCAGCTTCTGTAAAACAGAAAGACCTGGCGACCAGAGGCCTTGAAAGTACCTAAGCCACTGCTTGGCATGAAGCAGAGGAGGTAGGCATTAGTTACAAATGGTTGAAGAGGAACAAACGACAGACAACACCTCTGCCAACACCTCCCGGTTACATTTCAAGCATTAACCAGAACTGCTTGTGGTTATTCACTGCATGGAAAGAGAAATATCAGAAAAAAAAAAAAAAATCACTGTGTACTCATTCTAATAAAGTGTGCCTGTCCCATAGACTTCTAGAGGAACACTGAAAACACTTTCTGTCACACCCCACTCTTCTTATCTCACACCCTTAACACTTTTTCCTTTTCCACTTGTAACTCCATATCCTGCAGCCATTACCTCACCCAAGAGCGGGGGCCTAGTAACCACTTGATGGTGGGACTCAAGGTGTAAACGTATCAAAAGCTGTCTCTGCAGTTTTCCCAGTACGGAGGTGAAGCTGGCCAACGAAAGCAGAAGCCATGTTGGTTGTTCTGACTCAACCGGAAGCCAGAAGCCAGCCTGATTAAGGTGTGCTGGGACGCTGGTGCACAGCAAGCTTCCCTGGCAGAACAGGGCAGAACTCACGTGCTGCAGCAAGGTGGAGTAATGTTTAATTCAGAGCACCTGCTTAGCTGCTTAGACCACCTTCAGGCCGTCCACAGGGAGGGTACAAGAAGCAGACAATTCAGGGGAAGCCTGACACAGCCAGGCGCTGCTGCTGCTGCTGGCCCTACTGACCACCCAGACTCAGGGACCCTGCCAACATCATCTACACATGCTGCACGGCACACAAGAACCAGACCACCTTCCTTCCTATAGTGCATTTGCCTGGCACGGCTCACAGGCAAGCAAATGACAGACAACTGGCAGGACTCGCTGCCGTCAAATTAAGAGGCAACCAGGTAGCTACCCTGTAGCAAGGCACCTGATGCCACACCCCACCGCAGCTGTTCCTGTCAGCGCTATGGTCTTTGTTCCCTCTAGGGGCAGTTAATGCTATCCCTGACTCCTAAACACTTCACAAATTACTTGAGGACAGGAGCACTTGAGATGCACTTGGGTCCAGAAGATTACTCCAGGCCAGGAGGTACTGCAGGCAGGGCTCTCCCCACAAGGAACCAGCTACTCGGTTTGACAAACACACTGGGGCACCCACATCAATGCAAACAGTAACATACTGTGCTGTCTACTGAGAAGCATATGGCCAAGAAGACACAAACAACAGAAGAAAGCCAGTGCAGACCAAGACAAGCTCCCTCCCCAAAGCCAGAGGCGATGACTAGACAGTAGAGAGAACACTCGCAGTAAGGGAAAAAAAAGGCAAGGCAGTGGGGCAGTTCTGGAAAGTTGAGGAGCTGGCCACTGTCTATTTACGGGAGAAGGACGAGGAGATACAGTTGGGAAGAAAGGCGAGGCTCTCTAAGTGTGGCTGTGGCCTGATCTGGCAGCTGACACACACACTCACCCTCCTGCACATTCATGAATATGTATAAACTAGGGTTACCAGCGGAAGCTACGGCCGGCACTAGGAGTATTAAGTGTAGAATGATGGGTTCTGCATTATCCTCCTCAGCCTCACTGAAGAATTAACTGACCCATAACTATCACTGTCTTTGGAGAAATCTTAGAACACAGTGGGGTTGCAGAAGAAATGAAAACAGCCAGCACATCCAGTTTGTTTCTTTCTTTCCTTTCCCTTCCCCTCCCCGCCCTCCAAAACAGAGTTTCTCTGAGTAGCCTCGAATCTTGGACTCACTTAGTAGACTAGGCTGGCCTTGAACTCACAGAGATCCTCCTACTTCCACCAGCTTTGTTTCCTTCCTTTCTCACAAAACTGAAACATTGAAGCCGAATTTCTCAACATAACATTTTCTTTCACAGGAGGCACAATTATGTCCTGTCAAGATAAAACTTTCACACTTTGGTGTTTTCAATATTCATTATCAAGCAAATCTATATTGCAGTTTCATTGCAAATCAGCATTTCAACACTGATAGCCTTCTCTGAAATACTCTGTTGACTTCCCCTAGACTCTCCCTGCACTGAGGTGGTGATGTCCTCTTTCCATGTTCTAGGGTGGTGTGGAATAGTCTTAAAAAAAAAAAAAAGGGGGGGTTTATTTATGTATTATGTATACAGTGTTCTGCCTGCATGTATGCCTACACACCAGAAGGCGGCACAAGATCTCAATATAAATGGTTGTGAGCCACCATATGGTTGCCGGGAATTGAACTCGGGACCTCTGGAAAAGCAGCTGGTGTTCTTAATCGCTGAGCCATCTCTCAGCCTACTGTGGTATATTCTTGACGTGGCATCTCTTGCTAGCAGAGTACTTTCCAAAGTTCTCCAGATGGAACTAGTGGAAATTCTCAAGAGCTCAGCATCATCTTATCTAAATGATGCTCAGTCTGGTTCTGGTCAACACTGAGGGTGCAGCCATGCTTCTTTCCTACAAGGGGGCGAAGTACTTGGACACTGAGAGAAATAACTCTTCAGATGATTAACAAAAGTTTCCAGCTAGGATGCCATGACACAACAGGTGAAAATGTGACTACAGTGACATTTTTATCACTTTGTTTAAAAAATTAGCCATTCACAGTGAATGATCAAAATAAAAAACATGCCCTACTTTAATGTAAATTTGCTGCTACCAAGCAGAAGCTAATGGCTGAGTGCCAGAACACGCAAGCACACACACAACTGGGGGCTACTTTATATGTGGTCCAACACAAATTCTACACACATTAAGACACCCTTTTTCTCTCTGTGCACAGCACCCTCCCCCCCCAGGGGGTAGCTGGCTCAGTTAGTAAAATGCTTGTGTTATGGTGGCAAGGCAGAGGAAAACACTCAGTATCAACTCTGCTGTGAACACATGTAACACCATACAATAAAATGAAATCTGAAAGGCAAATTCACTTCATCTGTTAATGATAATAAATATCAGAAGAAAGCTACAGCCACGCTTCATGGAACAGTGGAGCTATGTTCCAAGAAATGTACCATTAGTGAAGTTCGCCTCATGTGAACATCTCGGAGGCTACTTCAAAAACAATGATAGCTGTATCACCACCCAAGCAACGCAGCTGTGTGACTACCATGGAACATGCATTTTGTTGTAGACTGAAATATTGTTGTCCAGTGCCTAGCTAGTTACTGGTAAAACTTGACAATGTTTAGGCACCTGGGTTAGGGCTGAACTTGAACTATAAGATTTGCATTTAGACAGTAAAGGCTTCTCTGGAATTTTGCTGTTGCAGGGCACTGTGTATAAGGTACACATGATTTCAGAGAGCCTCAGAAGGTTTTGGGTTTTTATTTGTTTTTTTTTTTTTTTTTTTTTTTTTGGTTTTTTGTTTTGTTTTGTTTTTTTGAAACAGGGTTTCTCAGGACTCACTTTGTAAACCTGGCTGACCTCAAACACAGTGATCCGCCTGCCTCTGCCACCCTTGAATGCTGGGATTATAGGCTTGTGACAGCATGCCCCGTTGAGAGTCTCAAAAAAGTATCCAAAATGTTAAAATGTGTGTTAATTATCAGCCAGACACAACCTAGCTACCTAAAAGTCAACTGAGAGACTGGCCAGATCTTACTGGCCTACAGGCATGGCTGCAGGGCACTGTCTTGATTTGTGATAATTTCTTTCCCTGGGCAGTATGTCTAAAACTTTTCGCCAGGTAAGTGGTGCATTTGCCTGAGTTTCTGCAGCTGAATGGAGAACAAACCTCACCTGCCAGAGAAGGGACTTTCAACATTAGGATGGACAATGGGGACAATGCACAGTGGCAATGCCATTTGATGTTATTAGTTCAGAGGTAACAGGTGTTCACAGGGAAGATTCCCGAATCCTGTAGAACCCAAGCTTTACATAAAAACACAACCCAGAAGCATCTAAAACACCAAAGGAACTGGAGAACGAGCATATCTGGAGGGGCCTAAGAAACAAACACATGCCATGGGGAAATAAGCGATTCCCTTACTCAGTATCATTCCATTCTGGGCCTTATGCAGCCCAATGGCTAGCTCACTCTCACTTAATTCCATAGCCCCTTGACATAACTATACAGCAAGCTGAGGACGGCCTAGGATACATGAGACTGTACCTGAATGCCCCATCCAAAAGAGGGTTATTGCAAATGAGCATGCTTACACGGGCAGGCCATGGAAGCTCTTTTTGTTTTAATTTAATTTTATTTTATTAATTACTTTATTCACTTTGTATCCCCCCATAAGCCCCTTCCTCCTCTCCCTCTTCCCACCCTCCCTCTCCCTTCTTCACACATGCCCCTCCCGAAGTCCACTGATAGGGGAGGTCCTCCTCTCCTTCTTAGTCTATCAGATCACATCAGGAATGGCTGCATTGTCATCTTCTGTGGCCTGGTAAGGCTGCTCCCCATTCACGGGGAGGTGATTAAAGAACAGGCCTATCAGATTATGTCAG